GCCTCAGAGCAACGAAGCCGATGCGCCACAGCAACTGAGCCTGCGCTCCAGAGCCTGGGAGCTGCAACCACTGCGCCCACGTGCTGCAGCTATTGAAACCTGTGTGCCTCAGAGCGCGTGCTCTGCAACAAGAGACATCATCCCAATGAGAAGCTCACGCACCACAACTAGAGAGTAGCCCCCTTCCTCACCACAACTAGAGGAAGCCTGCTTGCAGCAGTGAAGACCCAGCACAGCCAAAATAAAATCACTTTTTAAAATAAAAATAATAAATAAATAAAGGCTCCCACTCCAGCTCTCTGCCTGGCAAAGGGCTTCACCTCTCGGCACCTCAGTTTCTAAGTCATTACAGTGGGGAGATCACAGCAGAGACATCACAGGGTGGGTGGAAGGAGTGAATGAGATCATGCGTGTAAAGTGCTTACAGCAGGGCTTGGCAACGAGTCAGCACCCATTAATGTGTGTTATTATTGTTTTTCTTCCCCTGTGGAGCCAGACACTGTTGGCTAGCTAACCCACTGACACTCTTGATTCCCTTTTTCTCTAGCTTCCCCCTCAGAAGATGTTGAAAAGCTAAACGAAACTTCTCACCTTCCTTGGTGGCTCAGATGGTAAAGAATCTGCCTGCAAAGTAGGAGACCCGAGTTCGATCCCTGGGTCAGAAAGACCCCCTGGAGAAAGGAATGGCAATCTACTCCAATATTCTTGCCTGGAGAATTCCATGGACAGAAAAGCCTGGTGGGCTACAGTCCATGGGGTCACAAAGAGTTAGGCACAACTGAGTGACTAACACTTTCATAGTTTAGAACTAGGGGAGGTTATATGGCCCATTTCTGGCCAAGGATGCATAAGTGGAATCTTTTGGGAAGGGGGATTCTGGGAGTGCTGAGCAGTTCGGAACTGGAAAAAAAAAAAAGATAAAAGAAAAAAACAGGCTGCTGGCATTGATGCACCCTTCCGTGTGCTGGCTGGAGCTGCAGTAGCAACTTTGGAACCATGAGCTAAAGGCCAAGGGACTCAAGGAGGTCCCAGCTTAGACATTACTCAGCCTCTGAACTAACACAGGCAGCCAAGCTCCTCTTGGTTTGTTGTTACGGGACAGAAAGCAACCCTCATTTATTTAAGCTGCTGTGAGCTGGGTTTTCTGCTCTTGCAGCTGAAGCCATTCCAGGCTGCTGCACCCACCATGACACGAATGGCTCAGGGCACACGGCCATGGTAACCATCTGCCAGCCTCAGTTCAGGTCCCCGGCTGAGAACTCCTGATTCAGAGAAGAAAGCATGGAAGGCCAAGGCAGGGCAGCATTTACCAACCTGAGTGGCTGTGTTCTACCCTCCCTCTTCAGTTGCATCTATTAATATGTCCCATTATACAATTACTTACTTAATAAACTTGAATATATATACATATATTTATATGTAGAATCTACATTCTTACTCAAACAGCAAAACTGGTATCCTCTGCTACAAAAGTAACTTAATGAATAAACACAATGAAAATGAACAAAAGATAGTCATCCACTGATTTCTGAAAGCTAACTGATGTACCATAATTTGGGTTCAGGTGGTTGGCAAGAATTCCTCACTTTTGTCTTCTACTGGGGAAAAAAAATATCAGAAGATCTGACAAGATCTGGCATTTCCACAGGGCAGCAAATGGGCCAGACCTAAGCAGGGGCTGCTCCCCAGAGAGGGAGCACGTTTTCCTGTTTGCCACAATTCCCCAAACCCTATTCAGAAGTAAGTTAATTCGTTCAGCTCTCCTGCCTGGCAGGTGGAAGAATTAGGTCAGGGCCTCCTCAGAGAAGCCTTCCTGAGTCGCCTGGTCTAAAATGGCCCTCTTGGACTTTCCCGGTGATCCAGCAGCTAAGATTCCGTGCTCCCAATGCAGGGGGCACTGGTTCAATTCCTGGTTGGGGACCTAAGATCCCACACACCGCACAGTGTGGCCAAAAATAAAATAAAATCGCCCCCAGTTGCTCCCAGTGAGTCCCCTTTCCTGCTGTACTTCTCCTTATGGTACTTATCCCGGCGTTCACTCGTTTGTCTGTCGTTTTATCCTTCAGTAGGATGTCAGTGCCTGCAGGGAAAGGATTTTGTCTGTCTTGTTCATTCCTGAATCCCCAGTACCTAGAACATAACAGTAGGTGCTCAAATGCCTATTTGTTGAGGGAATGAATGGGACAAATGAAGGGACAAATGAAACCCCATCTACTGCTCTCCAGTCCCTGATGTACTGGTTACTGGGTGGGAACAATGCTGGTCCTCCTGTGGCTTGAGAGGCGATTCTAGGAATTCACTCAGAAACTGGAACTTCTACCATACTAAATTAAAAAAAAAAAAAAAATTTTTTTTTTTGGCCATGCTGCACGGCACGTGGGATCCTTAGTTCCCCTATCAAGGACTGGACCTGAACCTTGTGCAGTGGAAACGTGGAGACTTAACCACTGGCCCACCAAGGAAGTCCCCCTCTTACCACGTTATAAAGGGCCACACTAGATTAAAATGAGTACCTACGAGGCCATAGGGTTCCCTGGTGGCTCAGCTGGCAAAGAATCTGCCTGTCATACAGGAGACCCTGGTGTGATTCCTGGGTCAGGAAGATCTGCTGGAGAAGGGATAGGTGACCCACTCCAGATTTCTTGGGCTTTCCTGGCAGCTCAGCTGGCAAAGAATCTGCCCGCAATGAGGGAGACCTGGGTTTGATCCCTGGGTTGGTAAGATCCCCTGGAGAAGGGAAAGGCAACTCACTCCAGTGCTCTGGCCTGGAGAATTCTCTGGACTGTATAGTCCATGGGATTGCAAAGAGTCGGACACAACTGAGCGACTTTCACCTCACTTCACAAGGCCATACAAATATATGTTAATAGCTGAAATAAATGAGGGAAAAGGGACAGGTCTTCCTTACAGAACTAATCATGAGGACAATTCATAAATGTGAAAGGAATGAAGGACATTAAAAAAAAATCACCATTGGGAAATACAACAGTAATAACTTGCATACAAGATGCACCCTACCAGTGCCAAAATGAGTGGGTGCAAGCTTAAGGAGAAACTCGTGTGGTCTCAAAGCACCTCTCCCAAGATAACTATCAATTACAAAGGGAAAAACAGTTACCAGACAGTGGAGAAAGCCAGCAGACAGCAACCTGACTGAGTGATCCAGGTTAACATCACCAGTGATAAGACATGTGGACCTGTGGGTGCCACGCACCATGACGGGCACCTCACCTCTGAGGTGTTCCGCCAAATAACGCATAGCTGCGGTCATGAAGAAGTATCAGAGAAACCCAAACTGAGACAATCTACAAAATGACAGAACCGCTCTCTTGGAAGTGTCACAGTCATAAAAGAGAAGGAAAGCCTGAGGAACCGAGGCGGACTTGAGGAGGATTAAGGAAACAGGACCACTAAACGCAGTCAGGGATCCTGGACAGGATCTTGGAACAGCAAAAGGACATCAGTGATAAAACAAGAGAAACGAGTCTGTAACTTAGTTCATAGTACTGGGCCAGAGTTCACTTCCTGGTTTTGATAGCTGTGCCACAGTTGTACAAGGTGGTAGCATTAGGCAATGCTGGTTGAAGGGTAGATAATGTGAACGCTCTGTACTATTTTTGTAACTTTTTATGAGTCTAAAATTCCTCTAAAATAAAAAAAAAGTTAAAGAATTGGGCCAAGAAGCATCCCACAATGGAAATCTGGTCTCAAGAGACTGCCCCACAAACAAGCTTTCGTACCTGTGCAGAGCCATAGACCAGGATGAAGGAATATGAAGAGACCCAAGAAACAAACAAGGAGGAAGATGCTGTCTAGAATTTTTTAATTTAAAAACAAACATGGTTTTTTGGCCACAAGATCTTAGTTCCCTAACCAGGGGTCAAACCTGGGCTCTTTGCAGTGAGAGCTTGAAGCCCTAACCACTGGATTGCCAGGGAATTCCCTCTATCTGTCAGTCAGTCAGTCAGTTCAGTCACTCAGTCGTGTCCGACTCTTTGCAACCCCATGGACCGCAGCACGCCATGCCTCCCTGTCCATCGCAAACTCCTGGAGTTATTCAAACNCCCAAAAAAATAAAGTCTGACACTGTTTCCACTGTCTCCCCATCTATTTCCCATGAGGTGATGGGACCAGATGCCATGGTCTTAGTTTGAGTCACTCAGTTCCCAAACTCAACTGTCTGGTCCCTGCAACTCAGCCAATACCATTATCTGCATCCAGAGCCTGGATGCCAGCATCTTCTGTTCTCCCACTTGCCACACTATTGGGGTCTCTTGGTGCTTCAAGGGTCAGACAGCATCCCCTCTCCCAAGCCCCTTGTGGCACCCTGCCAACAAAGGTAGGTGTCCTCGTTTAGGAATCCCCACTGTCACCTGGGACACCCCCCATGCTGAGGCCCTCTCCTCTGGTCTAGGCCAAAGAAACCAAAGAGGGACTAGCCAAACACCCAGAAATCCACTTCAAAACATGTTAAAAATCTTCACATTACAGGTAAGTACTTACCGTGTACACGTATTTTAATTTCGTGTAACTACTCGCACGCCATTTTTAGCCTATAGACACACAGCAGAGCCACATGGTGGGGGTGGGGCCATCCTGTACCCTAACCGTGGTAGCAGTCACACAATGGCATGCATTTGCCTAAACTCAAAGAACTACACACCAAAGAGTGAATTTCACTTGGTGCAAATTTTAAAAACGGAAATTAAAAAGTTGGAAGGAAGTGAGGTCCGGCTGGACACCCACCCAGCTACTGACAGTCATTACTTCGGAGGGAAGACATCAGACTGTGGGTGTTGGGAGGGACAGTGAAGGAGACTTCTGTCTTTCCCCTGATACTCTTCCAAATAAAAATTTTTTAAAAATAAGAAAGAAGAGAGAGAAAAACAACAAAAAAACCCCTCAAAAACTAAAAAAACAAGCAAAAAATAATAAAGAGACTTACATGCACGAGTTGTAAAGCTTAAGCAAACCAAAGTCAAACAAACCTTAGTACTCACCCTTGGTACGTTCTGGACACTAGCGCTCCTTATGGGTCCCAGGAGAGCCGAGGTCAAAGACTGTGCATCTATGGAGAACAAAACAAAACAAAACAAAACACAAGGTTACGCCTTTGGCCACTATGAGCCTTCCTACCATAGTACCCACCCGTTATTCATGAATTCACTGCCTCAATGAGCATTTATTGAACACCTGCTGCGTGCCAGGCACCGAGGGTATGCCGGTGACCAGGACCAGGTCGCTGCCCACGGGGAGCAGACACTGCAGCAGGGGAGGGAGACCCTGAACAAATACAATTTGCAGCCAGAGAATGGCGGGCGCCTTGATGGAGCCTAAGACTGAGGGGGCTGCTGCTTTTCCTGAGGGGTCAGAGGAGGTCTGAGGACGAAGACCTGAAACACAGGAGACCATGAGCTACGTGACCATCTGGGAAAGAGCCTTCCAGGCACAGGGACGGCCGGTGCACGCGACCTGAGGTGGGTGTGTGTGTGCGCACGTGAGCGTGTGTGTGCTGGAGTGGGGGTGGGGGGCGTGAGGAGCAGCAGAAGCAGAGTGCGTGTAGGAGATGAGGGCAGGGAGGTGTCAGGAGCACAGATGAAAGCCCATTATAATGACATCTCCTTCAGACAACTGTGAGCAGAGGAGTGGTGGAGAAAAAGCTCTTGTCCTGACTTGTAACTCTGTATTACTAATTTATGTTCTTGAATATTTAGTAATGGTTGTGCATCTTTAAGTGGATATTTCATGGATGAATGAATGTCTCTGGGTCGAGAGGCCACCGTCTGCACAATTCACCATCACATTTCAGTTGAGGCCAGGCACGAAGGCAGGGAGATGAGATCTGAGAGGACAACCTAGAACCTTCCCAGGTGCTAAATGGTGACTCTCTCTCCCTGTGTGCCAGGCTCCATCCAGGCAGAACGTGCTGGCTCCTTTCATGTCTCCACCCCTGCCCAATAACCCTAGGAAATACAAAACATCATTGCGTCCATATTACAGATGAGAGAACTGAGGCACACAGTGGGTAAAGGGCCCACTAACTGAGGCTGCCCAGCCAGTCAAAAGTACACTTCAGGGAGGATGAACCCAGGCAGCCTGGTCCCTCACACTTGCTCACAGCCTGCTCCCGACCACTTGGCCAGGCCACATGGTCATGGTGATCACGAAGAGAGGGCTAACGGCAGGCTGGCAGGGACCCTCCCCGTCCTTCCCCGATGCTGCCATGTCCACATGCCACCCACACACCAAGGTCGACCTCACACGCCAGCCAGATCCTCCAGCGAGCCTCCGAGGAAGGAAACCTAGCAAGCAGCTGGCCTACTTTCCAGAGTCTAAGGATGAGGACAGTTTCAATAATCGAGAAGCCAAAAGGAGTTCTTAGTTCTTATCCTTTCTCAGGCCAAGGACCCCTGCTAGCAACCTGGTGAAGAAGGGTGTAGGTTCTTTCTTAGAATCACATGCTCAAGTGTACAAAATACAATACACAAGATTACAAAGGAAATCAGTTATATTCAGATATCAAAATATCTGTAGCACAAAACCTATTCTGAGATACAGTCATCTTTGTGCTTCTTTACGAATGCTTTTGACAAACCTACACAGTGTATTAACAGGCAGAGACATCACTTTGCTGACAAAGGTCTGTATAGTCAAAATTATGGTTTTTCCACTGAGAGCTGGACCATAAAGAAGGCTGAGCACTTAAGAATTGATGCTTTCAAGTTGTAGTGCTGGAGAAGGCTCTTGAGAGTCCCCTGGACAACAAGGAGATCAAACCAGTCAGCCCTAAAGGAAATCAACCCTGAATATTCATTGGAAGGACTGACGCTGAAGCTGAAGCTCCAAAACTTTGGCCACCTGATGTGAAAAGCCGACTCATGGAAAAGACCCCGATATTGAGAAAGACTGAGGGCAAGAGAAGGGGGTGACAGAAGATGAGATGGTTGGATGGCATCACTGACTCAATGGACACGAGTTTGAGCAAACTCTGGGAGACAGTGAAGGACAGGGAGGCCTGGCGTGCTGCAGTCCACTGGGGTCACAAAGAGTCGGACAGGACTGAGCAACTGAACAACAGCAACAATGAATGCTTCAAATCACAAGACCTCAGCAGCGGGTCCAGGAGCCACAGTCATTTAGAAAGAGATGAGTGTCAGTGATAAGCTGCACTATCTGCAACAGTAATGTGATACGGAAATACTTTTGAGTTTTCGAGTGGCGACAAAGTCATGGGTGTTGCTAATACAATGTGGCTTGTGGTCTTTGTTCAGAAGGAATGGAAATTATCTCAGTTAGATGGTAGAGAAAATAAAGATGTAGTTTTTCCCCAGCCAACTTCATGATCCTCTAAATTCCATCCGAGGATTTCTTCAAGGCTCCATGAACCCAAGACTAAGAACACCTGTGCTAGTCCCGGGCTAGGGTAAAGATGGAGCAGGTGTTCGGGGAAGGTAACGACTAGGGGGTGTGGGGCGGATCCAGATCTGTGTGAGTTTCATATGGGAAGCGGTCCTGGACACTGAGCGATTTTGATGCATCCTGTACCCACTTCCCTTTTCCAGGTCAGCCCCCAGAACCTCATCTTTCTCACTCAGCCCATGGGATTCCTGTGAGGATGACCTCACCCATAGGTTGGTAGGGAAGGGAATGGTGTCACAAAAATACAGGCCTGGCCAATAAAGTCACTGCGCCGCCTCTTCCAGAGCACTAACCTCAAGGATGGCTCAGGGTGACATGACCCCGGCACCAAAGCCAGCTGATCAGGTCCACAGAAGAGTCTCAGGACTCTGGGATAATAGAAAAGTCCCGGGGGCTGCTAAGCTGGCTGGATATATACCTGGAGCTGCCCCAGAGCCTATCTGACAATAAAACCAACAGGACTGCAGAGCCAGGAGACAGAAGGAAACGGGGTCCCGGCAGCCCTGCGACTGTTACACACAGAAGGCCCCAGACTGCAAGTTCAAACATTTCCTCTCCTATGTAAGCAGGCTGACCTGAATTTCTACTTGTTCACACAACCGAATGACTCTCAACTGACACAGAAGGGAAGGAGTGAGTACGGTTCTTGACAATTCCCACAGCTCACTACCAAGACACTTCGGAAAGCACAAAATAAAATTAGAAACAGCTACTATACATAGAATCATCAAATACAGAAAAACACACACTCGGTAAAAACTCAGAAATAATCTCTTGGGTGGTTGAAGTCCCTAAAGCTGGTCTATGAAATACTAATGACTTTGATTTTCGACTTGCTTGGAAGGGCAGGAGGGAACCAGAAGCACCAGAACACCTTCCTTTATCACCAGGCTTTATCACTAAAAAAAATTCTTGGGATGATCAGGAAGCCCCTGCAATAAAGCTCCTGTAAAATTGTAATCAGTGCCTTTTTAACTGCATCGGAAATTGCTTTTCTGCCACTCATTTCCCCCCTTTCTTTCTCTAGAGTGATGCTCATGGCTCTTTAAAGGCACATCAGCAGTGACGTGCAGTGGTGCCACGTCTCTCTGAGCTGGGAATCTATTTCCTGTCAAATGGAGGAAGCTGTGATGTCCATCAGTCTGGGGTCCCTGATACACAGGAGGGGCCGCAGCAGAAAGGAAGATGCCCAAGGCATGTGGAAATGCAGCAAAGGCAGGGTTTAGCACCAGGAGTTCAGCCAGGACCCCAGACAGCCCAGAGCCCCTCTTACACCACCTGGGAAGGAAGGACCCCCGTTGGAGGGGGTCCAGCACCCACCAGAGCAACAGCCCTGGCTCACCTGTCACAGAGGTTACAGTCAGGGCTGCGCACCTTGCTTCTTAGGGTTTATACCAAGAAACAGAAGCCAGGATGAGAACCTGGGGGTGAGAGGGCATCCTGGCCTGCCTCCAAGTCTGGTGACTCCTCCCCTCGGCCACAGAGATTGGCTCTTGGGAGACACACGTGATCCAAGCAAGGCCAATCATGCCCCAGACTGCAAGTTCAAACATTTCCTCTCCTATGTAAGCAGGCTGACCTGAATTTCTACTTGTTCACACAACCGAATGACTCTCAACTGACACAGAAGGGAAGGAGTGAGTACGGTTCTTGACAATTCCCACAGCTCACTACCAAGACACTTCGGAAAGCACAAAATAAAATTAGAAACAGCTACTATACATAGAATCATCAAATACAGAAAAACACACACTCGGTAAAAACTCAGAAATAATCTCTTGGGTGGTTGAAGTCCCTAAAGCTGGTCTATGAAATACTAATGACTTTGATTTTCGACTTGCTTGGAAGGGCAGGAGGGAACCAGAAGCACCAGAACACCTTCCTTTATCACCAGGCTTTATTACTAAAAAAAATTCTTGGGATGATCAGGAAGCCCCTGCAATAAAGCTCCTGTAAAATTGTAATCAGTGCCTTTTTAACTGCATCGGAAATTGCTTTTCTGCCACTCATTTCCCCCCTTTCTTTCTCTAGAGTGATGCTCATGGCTCTTTAAAGGCACATCAGCAGTGACGTGCAGTGGTGCCACGTCTCTCTGAGCTGGGAATCTATTTCCTGTCAAATGGAGGAAGCTGTGATGTCCATCAGTCTGGGGTCCCTGATACACAGGAGGGGCCGCAGCAGAAAGGAAGATGCCCAAGGCATGTGGAAATGCAGCAAAGGCAGGGTTTAGCACCAGGAGTTCAGCCAGGATCCCAGACAGCCCAGAGCCCCTCTTACACCACCTGGGAAGGAAGGACCCCCGTTGGAGGGGGTCCAGCACCCACCAGAGCAACAGCCCTGGCTCACCTGTCACAGAGGTTACAGTCAGGGCTGCGCACCTTGCTTCTTAGGGTTTATACCAAGAAACAGAAGCCAGGATGAGAACCTGGGGGTGAGAGGGCATCCTGGCCTGCCTCCAAGTCTGGTGACTCCTCCCCTCGGCCACAGAGATTGGCTCTTGGGAGACACACGTGATCCAAGCAAGGCCAATCACAGTCGACCCCGGACATTTTGCTGGATTACTGGAAGGAAGAGATGGGTGGAAGGTAGGGGCTGCTGAGGGTTTTTCTCTGCCCTCTGGGGGAGGGGAAGGTCATCCGAGAATAAAGT